TTGTTCAGGGAAAGTGAGTGTTCCAGTAAGAGTGAATGTTCCAGAAGGGCGTGTTTTCTAGTCAGTCTTTGCGTGATCACTCTCATCAGTGAGAGTGAGTGTTCCAGAGGAGTATGTTACTCTTCATGCCTCTGTGTGATCACTTTTATCAGCAAAAGTGATTGTTCCAGAGGGGAACATCAAAATGCAGTCTCTGCGTGACTCTTTTCCTACAAAATAGTGACTTTTTTCTTCAATCAAAGATCTCTAAAACCTCAAATAGCTCACTTATTCAACTCTAATCCTTTTAACACACACTCACAACATCAAATCTCAATTTATGTATCAGATCAACCACAAAATATAGATGCAGCAAAATCACAGAAATGAAATTGCAGAAATTGAACAAAATGAATAATGAAAATTCAAATGCAATGCAAAAAGCTTAAAATGGTTCAGAAATGTGAGTTGCCTCTCACAAAGCGCTCTTTTAACGTCACTAGCTTGACGTTAAATGTTTCTCACTCAAGAGAAACCAGTTTGACATAGGAGATATTCCTTGCAAATTTCTCTCCATGATAAACCTTCAACCTTTGGCTATTGACCTTGAATTCTCTCCCTATCTTTTGATCCTCAATTAGAATTGCTTCAGAGGGAGATGTTTCTTTGATCAAAAAAGGTTCAGACCACCTTAATCTAAGTTTCCCTAAAAATAGTTTCAGTCTAAAGTTGAATAATAACACTTGCTATCTAGGTTCAAATTCTCTTTTCAGAATGAACTTATCATGAATTCTCTTGGTTCTTTCTTTATACAGCTTTGCATTTTCATAGGCTTGCTATCTGAACTCTTCCAATTCATATAGCTATAAAATTCTCTTCTTCCTAGCACTTGTTAAATCAAAGTTCAGCCATTTAGTGGTCCAATAAGCTTTATGTTCCAACTCCAAAGGACATGCCGTTCCAAAGACTAATTGGTAGGGTGACATACTAATTGGAGCCTTAAAGGCAGTCCTATATGCCCATAAAGAGTCATCTAACTTCTTTGACCAATCTTTCCTTGAATTATTCACTACTTTTTCCAAGATCTGCTTGATTTCTATGTTTGATACTTCAACTTGTCCACTTGTTTGTGGATGATATGGAGTAACAACCTTGTGTTTCATGTAATGCCCCAAATTTTGGTGATATTAATTATTATTATTCTTACATATATATATATATATTCATATGCGTGTTAATTTATTTGAAAATGATGTTTTATGTGTATTAAGTACATGGTTGTGTGTATATATGTGTATGTATGACTGGTTGGGCTAAAATAGGCTAAGTGCCCAAGTACAGGGCATGATACTGGGCTGCTCTCGCTATAGCGAGAAGGCCCTGGGAGGAAGGACCAGAACTGTCGCCTTCTTGCTGTAGCAAGAGACGTCTCGCTGTAGCGACAGAGTGATAGTTTGGGGAGCAATTCTAGGTGCAGTCTCGCTGTAGCGAGATTCTGTAGAAATCAGGGTGCAGTTTCATCTGATATTTTCGCTACAGCGAGTCTCGCTGTAGCGAGAGTGTCGTGACCAGAAAAGGATTTAAAGGGAGTTAGGGTTCAGGGAGAGTTATTTCTCCCACTCCCTTCAATCCTCTTACGCCCAAAGCCTTATTCCACCGATTAATTACCTCCAAAGCCATTCAGGAGCGAGATTAGAGCTCAGATTTGTGTGGGGAACGCTTGGAGGTGAGTTTTAAACGGTTAGGGTTTTCATTTTCCTTCTCTTTCTCTATTTTTGGTGATTTTCGGGGTTCTCATGGAATTCTTCCATGTGTTTAGCCTGAAATTCGAGTGGGAGTATTTCCGTAGTTAAGTTCGGACGTGGGTCTTCAATCCAAGGTAAGGGGGGACTCTACCCTACTCTTTTATGTGTAATTTGCTGATATTTTGTGTGATATTGTGATGTGGCTGAGTAAAGGGTAGGAAATTGCTGAGATATGTGTAGTGGGCACTTGTGTCGTTTATACATGTGTGTATATCTGAGTGGACATTGTGAAAATGTGGACCTGAGGGCCGTGTAATATGAATGGAAATAGGCTAGGGACAGTGTGGCATGAATGAATTATGGGCTATGTGCTGTGTGTGCTGTGGAAATGAAATGTGAGCCTAGTGCCGTGTATTGTTAAATGTGGGCTATGTGCCATATATTGAAATGCGTGTGACTGGGAGTAGTAGCGCCACTGTAATGTGCTATGAATGGTTCAGTGATACAATGGAGATGTGGGAGATGAGGACGGTAGAAATACCTTGGGGAAGAGGGAGTGGTGGTGACACCAACTGCAGAACGGGTGTACCACGGGCCACACACTCTCTTCTTGACTAGACCTCTGACTACTATCCTTGCTGAGCGGCCCGTGACTGCCCATGTGGTATCCGTGAGGCGGGGGTAACCGATGACCATTCATAGTGGAAATCTGTGATCACAGTGCCACAATGAGTGTGGCTGGCGTGCATGTGCATGTGTTTATGTGTTGTACTTATGGATGTGAAATGTTGCCAATGCCATGAGTGCATCGATATTAAATTGACCTGAGCTGTGTGATAGTGCTGCTTGTGAGTGTGTTTATTTAATGTATTGAAAATGTTCTGGAGGTGAGACTCTACATTGATTGTGTGTTTCCGGGTAGTGTAGAGTACTCACCCTTACATTCATTTTTTAGGTAATCAAAACGATCAGTTTTGGACTCAGTGAAAGGGGTGGATGGAACTGCTATGGGACTAGGATTGTAATCTGAAACTAATACATTTGAATGGGTTCTGTAGTAGTGACCTGATAAAGATTGTAACCCCTTTCCTTATTTTAAAATATTTGATGAAACCAAAGGTTGAGAACCTTATTTGAAATTAAATTTGTTTTATTCTGAATTTGCGAAATTATGATTTATTGAAATTAAACATAAGGTGTTACATTTCACGCTATACTTCATTAGTACTGACTTAAGATGTTTGTTGCAGAAATGTGCACCTCCATCACTTATTAGAAATCTGGGTACTCCAAACCTTGCAAAGATGTTCTTTCTTATAAAAGAGATTACTACTTTAGCATCATTTGTTCTTGTTGGAATGGCTTCCACCCACTTAGAAACATAATCAACTGCCACTAGAATGTATTCATGAGAAAATGAGGTGGGAAAAGGTCTTATGAAGTTAATTCCCCAGACATCAAATAACTTCACTTCTAGAATGTTTGTCAATGTCATCTCATGCCTCTTAGAGATGTTACCTGTCCTTTGTCATTTATCATAACTTTCAACATATTTCTTGACATCTTTGAAAAGTGTAGGCCAGAAGAAACCTGCTTGCAAGAATTTTGTAGCAGTTCTTGAACTTCCATGGTGGCCTCCATAGTTTAAATTGTGGCAATGCCATAATATCTCAGCTTGCTCACTTTGTGGGATACACATCCAAGTAGACCATCTACCCCAGTCTTGAACAAATAATGGTCTTCCCTCACATAGAGTTTGTTGTCATATAAGAATTTCTTCTTTTGCTGCCAAGTGAGTCTCTTTGGAATGAGTTGAGTGGTCTTAAAATTTGCAATATCAGCAAACCAAGGCATGTCTTCTACTGCAAATAGTCTTTCATCTGGTAATTCTTTATTAATTTTTAAGGAGTTAAGGGTTAGACTTTCCAATGGAAGTCTGGACAAATGATCAGCTACCCATTTTCCTTTGCCTTTTTATCTCTAATTTCCAATTAAAATTCCTGCAGCAAGAGAATCCATCTCAACCATCTTGGCTTGGCATCTTGCTTGGATAACAAATATTTAAGTGCAGAATAGTCAGTATAGACTATGACTTTTGTTTCCATCAAATATGATCTAAATTTGTCAAAAGCAAATACAATGGCAAGGAGTTCTTTCTCAGTAGTTGTGTAATTTACTTGTGCAGAATTTAAAACTTTGCCGGAATAATAAATGACATGTAATTTTCTATCCTTTTTCTGTCCTAGAACAACACCTATTACACTATCACTTGCATCACACATCAATTCGAAAGGTAAATTCCAATAAGGTTTTGCAAGAATAGGTGCAGAAATAAGTTTGTCTTTTAAAACAGAAAATGCATGCAAACAAGCATCATCAAATACAAAATCAGCATCTTTCACAAGTAAATCACTAATAAGTTTTGCAATTTTTGAAAAGTCTTTGATAAACCTCCTATAAAAGCCTGCATGACCTAAAAAACTCCTAACTCCCTTGACATTAATTGGTGGAGGCAGTTTACTAATAACTTCTATTTTTGCTTGATCCACCTCCATTCCTTTTTTTAAAATTTTATGGCCAAGGGCAATGCCTTCTTGGACCATGAAATGACACTTTTCCTAATTCAACACAAGGTTAGTATCTTGACATCTCTGCAAAAAAGTGGACAGATTAGCCAAACAATCATCAAATGAATTGCCAAAAATAGAGAAGTCATCCATAAACACTTCAATAATTTTCTCTACCAAATCAGAAAAGATGGACAACATACACCTTTGGAATGTAGCAGGAGCATTGCACAATCTGAATGGCATTCTTCTGTATGCAAAAACTCCAAATGGACATCTGAATGAAGTCTTTTCTTGGTCCACTGCTATTTGATTGTAGCCTGAGTATCCATCAAGGAAATAATAGAATGCATATCCAGCAAGTCTTTCTAGCATTTGGTCAGCAAATGGTAATGGAAAGTGATCCATTCTAGTTGCATCATTCAATTTCCTGTAGTCAATACACATGCACCAACCAGTGACAGTTCTAGTAGGTATTAGCTCATTCTTCTCATTAGGTACAACTGTCATCCCTCCTTTCTTAGGGACAACTTGGACTAAACTAACCCATTGGCTGTCTGAAATTGGATAAATAATCCCTGTATCTAGCAACTTCATAACTTCTTTCTTTACCACTTCTTTCATGGCTGGATACTGGTTTAAATTTCTTTTCAAATAAAATTCTATGTTTACAAAAAGAAGGATTTATACCTTTCAAATCTGAAATGCTCTAGCCTATTGCTGATTTATGTTCCCTCAGAATTCTTAGCAACTTTTCCTCTTCTTTCTCTTTGAGTTCATTGTTGACAATGACTGGATCTTCGTGATTCTGATCCAAGAAAGCATATCTCAAGTGAGAAGGTAGTTGTTTGAGCTCTAACTTCTGAATTTGTTCTTCTTTTACTTCCTTTTTCAGCTCTTTTTTGACTGAGTTTTCTGCAAGGGTTAGAATTGGTAGAGCTTCCAATTGTTGCTCAATTTCCATAATATGTTCTTCTCTATGAATCACAGATTTGGTACTCCCTGCAGCTATGGTTTCTCTCAACACAGAATTTTCATCAATAGGATAATGTGTAATAAGAGAATCCAATATGTCTAGTCTCATGCATGTATTATCTTCAACTGGATATTTCAATGCTTTAAAAACATTAAACACTACCTTTTCATCTTGAACTCTAAGCATGAGCTCTCCTTTTTGCACATCAATAAGAGCTCTTCCTGTTGCAAGAAATGGTCTGCCTAGGATCAAAGGTATATTTGTATCCACCTCCATGTCTAGAATGAAAAAATCTATAGGAAAAATGAATTTATCAACTTTAACCAATAAATCTTCTACAACTCTATAAGGATAAGTATAGGATCTGTCAGCTAGTTGTAGTGTGATATTGGTGGGTTTCACTTCTTCTATTCCTAATTTCTTCATGATAGCTAATGGCATTAGGTTAATACTGGCTCCCAAATCACACAATGCTCTTCCCACAGTACAATGTCTTATCTTACAAGGTATGCTAAAAGATCCTGGATCTTTGAGTTTTTGAGGAAGCTTCCTTTTTAGAATGGCACTGCATTTCTCTGTCAATGGCACTGTCTTATCATGCTCTAGCTTTGTTTTTCTGGAGAGTAATTCTTGCATAAACTTTGCATATGATGGCATCTGCTCTGATGCTTCTGCAAAAGGAATGTTAATTTGTAATTTCTTAAACACATTTAGAAATCTCTCAAATTGTTCTTCTTGTTTTGGATTTTGTACTCTTTGAGGGTAAGGTAGTCTTTTGTACTTTTCTGGATCTATTGGTTTGCAAGCTTCTTAAAAAAGTTGCTTCTTGGTCTTCCTCTCAGAATTTATAGGAACATCTACCTTTTTTTTCTGAATTCTCTCTCTTCAATAACTTGGAATTTCCTTGTTGAAGATCTTGTTCTATTCTTCTCTCTTTTGCTGCATCACTTGCTTTCTTCTTTGCAAGTTTGGGACTTGCAACTACAACTCCACTTCTTGTAGTTATAGCTTGACATTACTCTTTTTGGTTTATTACTGTATTGCTTGGAAATCTCCCTTTATCTTTGCTAGACAGTTGTTCAGCTAGCTGTCCAATTTGTGTTTCCAACTTCTTCATAGAAGCTTCTTGGTTCTTAAAGCTTGTTTGAGTTACTTTCATGAATTGCAGCATGGTTTCCTCCATCTCAGTCAACCTTTCAGTCATAGGCTTGACATACTTCTGATTTCCTTGAGATTGAGTAGTTGATGAATCCACAATTTATTGGATTTTTACTTATCTTTTTAGTGTTCTTTAATAGAAAAAAAAATAGATTTAGGAAGTGTAAATAACATAAAAACATCATTTTGGTCAAATTTCATAGGTTTCTTAATTTTTGGTTAATTTACATTGATTTACATAGATATAATTTGAGATTTTGATCATTTGAATAATTGTGCAGGAATTTCTAGACTCATTACATGGATTTTTAGCCTTTGAGAAATTTTGAGTTGAAAGTGACCACTTTCAGAAGTGATAGTGGACACTACAGCAAGCTAGATCCAAAGGGCAGGCCAGAGTAACTACTTTCAGAAGCAATAGTGATCACTCCAGAGCCAAAGGAAGCACCCAAACCTGCGCGTGTTTACTCTCAGAAACGATAGTAAACACTCCAGAGAGCCCCAGAGTTCAGGACCCTGCGCGTGTTTACTCTTGTGAACGATAGTAATCACTATGCTCGAGCGTGCTTACTCTTGTAAACGATAGTAATCACTATGCTCAAGAGTGTTCATTGTTGTGAACGAGAGTAACTACTCTGAAGGCGTCAACTTTTCTATATATGGATTTTTACCATTTAGGGTAAAAAAGAGGAGGAGAACTTTTGCAGAACCTTTTCTTGGAGATATTTTAGGGTTTTTAGGAACATTGGGAAAGCCTAGGGTGGCCTTGGGTGACAGCCAAGGGCCCAACCTAGGGTTTAATTTCTATTTTCTCCTTACTTCTTTTTTATTTTTGTATTGATGTTATTGATTTCTCTTTACTTTTATTTTGTAATTGTGAGACCCATCCTCATGGAGGGTTAATTTTCTTGTAATCTCTAGTGAGTTCATATGGATTCTTGAATTCTTGATTTTTTGAATGTTAATGCAAATCTTTTTCTTCCATGAATTTCTTCCTCTCAAACTCTTGAATTGAATTAATGGTTGAATGAGGGGAGCATTGCGTAATGAACCCTAATTCGTTTTAAGGAAATTCTAAATTTGAATTGCTTAATTCTTGTTTAATTCCAAGATTTCGTAATCAAGGAATGAGAGATTGGAGTTCATTGGATTGCTTAATTCATATGAAAACATAAGGTTGATTTTCGCTTGTTAAATCAACCTAATTCTGGGAGGAGAGGAAGAGTATTAAATCTTGAGAGGAATAGGGATAAAGTTTATATGAATGAACTAGGGGTTACTACATTTTATCGATTGAACTTTGCAATTTAATTTTCTGCTTAAGTTGATTGAACTTGAAATCACAAACCCCTCCTTTTTTACTTGCTTTCTAAATACATTGCACACTACATGTTTGATATTTGGTCACTCGTCCAATGATTCATGGGAAACGACCTAGGCTTGCATCCTAGACTACATAAATTTTTCTGTATATTTTGCAAATGAGAAAATATTTCGTTCATCAGTGGTTGGATTCCTTTGGAAATAAGGTTGTTGTGCTGCTGGACCTGCATTCAAAAAAGGCAAATTAGAGTTAGAATTATTGGCAGCATAATATTGATTATTCCAATTAGAGTATTACTAATTTCTATTATTCGAATATTGAAATCCAGGTGGGAATGAAGGTTGTTGTCTCTGAAAATTTTCCATGTAATTTAGTTGTTCTTGTGGTTCACTTGTAGATGCATCATATGCACCATTGGCATGATTTCCTCTACAAAAATCATAGCTTAGTTGATTTATTCCCACACTTCCAGATTGTAGATTGTTATTTGTTCTGAAAACATTTGGTTATGCAGCTGATTCTATGCAAGAAAAGTTTCTAAAATCTTAGCTTTATATCCAGTACTTCTCCCTACATTTCTTGAGTTTGAGTTCTAGTACATTGATGATGCCATCATCTCAATGATTCTCTAAGCTTCTTCTAAAGATTTCATGTTTAAAGAGCCTCATGTAGCAACATCCACCATGGTTCTTGTTGCTGTATTCATTCCTTTGTAAAAAGTCTCCAATTGCATCCAATCTGGAATACAGCGATGTGGACACCTTCTAAGTAGTTCCTTATACCTTTCCCAAGCTTCATATAATGATTCTCCTTCCTGCTGCATGAAAGATGTAAACAGAAAACAGAAAACTACAGATATAGCAGAAGAAAATAGAAAACTGCACTAATTCACAGTATACAAATGAAAACTAACTACTTACAACAATATAAAATCAATTAGAAATCAAAACTACACAAATATAGAATTAACTTTTCAACTAATTGCAAACAGAAAAATTCTCAGTGTAGTCTAAAATTGTAGAAACTTTAAAGAAAACAAATGCTCAATCTAATTACTTTCTTGTTACTAATGATATTGAAAACAATATTCCCTAGCAACGATGCCAAAAACTTGTCACACTTCAGAAGAGAAGTTAATTTGACTTGCAAGTGTACTAGTGATGATGTAGTAAGTTATAAAAATGATAGAACTGTGTTAGAGTCCCAAGTATCGTGCAGAAACACTAGAAAAATTGAACACAGCAGAAACACTAAAAGAAAATGATGAAAATATATAACAATATAGTGCAGAAAATTTACTAGCAGAATATCCTATGAAGAATTAAGAAAGAATCATAACATCTAAACATATAATCTACACAAAATACAATGGCACAGAAATTATACAAAACTAGACAACAAAGGTATACAGGAAAACTAGCAAAAAATGTAATACGAAATTCAATGTATAAAAATAAAATTTTCAAAAAGAAAACAGAGAACAAAAAGCTCAATCTAGTTGTCTCCTTGCTACTAATGATATTGAAAATAAAGATTCCTAGCAACGGCGCCAAAAACTTGTTACTAAATCGGAATACTAACTAGCAAGTGTACTAGGTAGTTGTAGCAAGTAATCAAATTTGGAATTCAATATGAGTCCTAAGTATCGTCCACAGGGATCTTATTTCAATTACCATTTCACAATTTAACAATTAGTTGAGCAAAACAATTCATTTGAGAGGTTTACAACATGTAAAAGTAAGAAATAAAAACAATAAAAGGTAATAAACTTGCTGTAAAAACAGAATACGAATTTTGTATTAAGAATGCTATATGGAAAATAGTTAGGAATCACTTCACTAGATTTTCAATTGCAATGTAATCATGTTTTGAACTCTTGAGAATTTTAATTGATTGATAATCAATTTCACTTCTTTAACCAAAGGACAATTCCTTGCCTCATTGATCCTAATACCTAATTAAACCTCCCTAATTCCTTAGGTGAAATTCAATCAAATATTCCATTAAGTTCTAGAAATTATAGGATTACTAGATCATGATACTTATTCCTAAGATCTCAATAACCTAGGCATATGATTCAGATCTGAGAAATAAACTCAATTTCCATTGATGAAAATTCCTCTAAATTCAATTGAGTGAAGGATTAGTTCACAACTGCATTAAGAACAGAATTACATACTCAATTCAATTAAAATCTTAAGATTCAATCCACAATCACATCACAACATCAAATCTGGATCCATAGATCCCTAACCAAAAAGGTTTAGAACAACATTACAATGGAGAAAGGAGAAGTAAGAGAAGAAGAAGACAAGAAGCAGAAGAACATCTTCCAAGACCCAATCTTCACTCTGATTCCTCTAGAAATGAAGCTTGAAAGTCGCTCCCAATCTCTCTCTCTGACTTCCCTTGGAACTTAAAACAGTTACAAAGTCAAAAATTAGAAAAATGAACCAAAAGTCCCTTTTTCTGAACCTCTAACTTCTATTTATATGGTTTTTCCACTTTTTGCTTTTCTACATGTTAATCTCTGAGAATTCTAGCATCAAAGGTCTTCTAAAAAGTTCTAAAACTGATTTAAGAACTTAAATCATCCAAAGTTGACACTTAGAAGTGATATTTAAAATTCTGTTATTTTTACGTAGCTACTCTGAACACTTGAAGTAGCTACGCGCTGACTACGTAGCTACTCTGAACGCTTGAAGTGGCTACGTGCTCTGCGTAGCTACTCTGGACACTTGAAGTAACTACGCGCACTGTGCAGTTCTGAATTAGCCTTGGGCGTAGCTACTCTGGACGCTTGAAGTGGCTACGTGCACTGCGTAGCTACTCTGCTCACTTGAAGTGGCTACGCGCTCAATTGCGTAGCCACTCTGAACACTTGAAGTAGCTACTCTCTTGATCTTTATGAATTTTCTTCTTCAAAGTGTTCACTCTATGTACTCAGAGGGATTACGCCCTTCGTATAACACTTGATTCTTCATCTTTTAAGCTCAATTCCTCTACTTTCTTCACTTCAATCTTCAACTCAAATTCTCAGCTCAAGCTTCAGCACAAGGATTAAGTCACTTTTAAGTCAATTTGTTTAGAATTGGACTAAAAATCTAAAAATCAAAACTATTTACACAATTATGAATATTAATGCAATGTTTATGATATTTTCAAGTTTGCTTAG